ACATGAGCTTCTACTTGTGGAACACCTCTGAATATTTATTATCCTCTGTTTTCTTATTCCTAGTTTGACTACTTTAAGAATCATTCATCAACTCCGTTATCAAACTAGCAAAATGTACATAATATTAGAACTCACTAGGGGTACTCTACTCTGCTCATTTGGTACTTTAAATGGATACATTACAGTACTACACAATATGGTTCTCTTTCCAATCAAATTATAAATTCATGCATATGCATGATATGAACGCTAAGAAAATTAATTATATTGCTATCCATTTTTGTACCTCTCAAAAATAATTCTTATAGCTCTTGTTATAATCTAATTTTTCCAATAACCATTACTCATATAAAATTTGTGTTGTCCTAAATCTAATTTTGGAAAAAATATCAACTTTATATTTTGATTAATCTACTAGAACAAGTAGCTATAAATTATATATATCAAAATATTTCTATCTTCATTCATTAAAATGAACAACTATAGTTGTTGCTCAAAATTTAATTTATCATAAATAGGAGATCACTTACCATATCAATTTAAATCTTTCTAAACTCTTGACTATAAAAGAACAAAATAAAATATAGAAAATTAAGTAAAACCTGAAGATTTTGATCTATTTTACTCAACTAGATCCTGATCCTATCCATAAAATATATAAGAATCACAGAATGAGCTAATAACTCAATAAGTTACCAAACACTACAACTACAATCAATGCAAGGCACTAGAAATGGTATGCATGTAATCATTCATTCAAAATCAATGTAAAAATATACCTGTAAGAATATGTAGTAGTCAATATGAGCATAATCATATCATATGAGCAGAAAAAAATAATGCAAGGTGTGTATTTTATTGGCAATGATCGTGCAAGGTGTGTATTTTATGGGCAATGATCAGTAATCACATAAATGATCAATAAGTTATATCATTTCTATATTTATATATATTTATTAAAAAAACTTTTGACTAAGCGACGCTGCGCTCATTTATTTCCTCAAAAACCCAAAAGCTCATTGTCGCGACACCCATCCCAGCGCACAACTCTCTCACATACAATTTTTTGGAATTTCACAGAAATGAAATTGAGGTTGTTAGCGGCATCACCCATGAACAAATTCAGATTCAACAACTTTAAACCCACATCCTTCCTAAGAATAGCGAAATCCCCAATCATTGGAGCAATCACAAAGCAGTTAATTAAAAACATTATCTTACACAAAGTATGATAAACTGTCTTATAATTTAATTAAGTGTTTTATATGCTAATTTTAATTAGGGATATATAGCCTTAGCCACCAACCCCCAACCAATTGGACTCCTGCCTTGTTTCAACTGCACGCGCCAGCTAATTAATTAATTCAGCGATCATCAACATTTTAGTTTAGTTTAGCTTAGTTAGAAGCACACTTTAATAAAATTACTCTAAAAAAATATTTTTATTTCTGGACTAAGCACCTTTTTCAAATAAATTTTGTTATTTGAATTAGCTGCGCGTTAGGAACCAATGATCCCAAATTCAAACCTTGTTGCGGTTTCTCTGTCGCTGCTGAAGGATGCTGCATTGTCACCATCCTCCCTCAACTTTATTTCAAGCCAAAGTAACCAAATCATATAACATAGACTAACAAAAAATTTACCAAAAAACCAAGATAGCTGCTCCTCATCCATTTTTTTTATCAACTTTATACCATTTAAATCAACACTTTTCCTTCTCTTCCAGACTTCAGGTGCAAGACAAAAGGTAGTAGGAGGAAAACCCAATAGCAAGTAATCAATATCTGATTGATATTCTACAGTAAAATCATAACAAAATAATACTAATAAAAAGGAATAGGTATTCTTCTCATCAATAAGAACCACTGCCCTTAGTTCTCTTCTAAGGGCATCTCCAACCGAAAATCTCATTTTTCACTCCAAAATGCAGTATAACAAGAAAGTGGCGTGATTCATCTCCAATCAAACTCCATTTTGCGCCTAGGTAATTGTCTTTCTCCTTCGCACGTTTCTTCGGAAAATCTGGTAGAGACACAATATTGACGTCTCACTGTTCACCCGCAATCAAATATCGGAAGTTTTGCCGTTAGGCTAGAGCTCACGAGCGACATCATTCATGCGTTTGGAGGAGTTCAGTTGGGCCTAAAAGAAGAAAAAAATTAATAAACCTGCCTGCATCTTGTCCACGTTTCATATAACCCCATTTTACTAGCGCAATGCCTAAGCAAAGGTAGGTGGTGGAAAGCAACCTGAGCTCAGCACCAGAAGTTAGAGATCCTCCTCTCCTATTACTTTCCACTGCTGCTCAGTTCCTCTTTCTAAGAACAAATTTCACTAAAGCTTTTCTTTGTTTTTGCTCTATATGCTTCATTGGTTGCAGGAAAGCAAAGGGAAGGATGCAGCTTCATATTTCACCAAGCCTGAGGCATGTGACTGTGCTTCCTGGGAAGGGAGTGAGGGAGTTTATTAAGGTGAAGGTGGCATCGAGGAAGCTCTCTTACAGGATGGTGTTCTATTTTCTGCTGTTCCTGACCTTCATGCTTCGGTTCGTGTTCGTCTTGACGGCAATGGAGACGATTGAAGGTGAAAATGAGTGCTCCTCCTTAGGTATGGGGAATGCTGTATGTATGATTTCATTTATGTTTTGATGTTTGAACCTCCAATTGTACAGGAAGAAGGAAGAGCATAGTACATCATAAAATAGACATAAAAGTATACCCAATGCACATTTTTTTTATATATTATATTTATATAGGAGAACACTAAAAACAATGGGTTAATACCATATTTTTTAATTAAATGTAATATGAAATAATATTAAGAATATGTTGTAAAAAATACTTAATCAACACATATAATAATATTTCAAAAATATTAAAAAGATATTAGGAATATCAAAATCATATTTGCATTGAAATTAAGGCTTCATTTGAAATTATTTTCTTACTATTTTTTAAAGTAAATTTTAAGTACAAAAATTGTAATTTTAAACTAAAATTTATTTAAGAAGTGGTAAAAAAATATCTATGGCTCCACCTTCAACAACTGCAACATTTTTTTTTTCCAACAATGACATTAAAGCTGCCTTTGTCCACCAATATTTAGGTAGAACTGGAGGTCTTTAGTTCCTTTATGATTTCCAACCAAAGCAATTCTTTTGCTTGTACATTTGGAATGGATATCTTAAAATATTTTACTCCATGCATAATGTCTTACTGGCCTTCTTTTGCAAATTAAAATATTTTAAGATATCCATTCCAAATGTACAAGCAAAAGAATTGCTTTGGTTGGAAATCATAAAGGAACTAAAGACCTCCAGTTCTACCTAAATATTGGTGGACAAAGGCAGCTTTAATGTCATTGTTGGAAAAAAAAAATGTTGCAGTTGTTGAAGGTGGAGCCATAGATATTTTTTTAATAAGAGTACATAAATTATTTTAATTTTTTATGGGGCACTTAAATCATATTTATTTAAAAAAAATTAGATAATAATAATTTATTAACATATCATATATATATAATTGAATTTCCTCATAAAAATAAGGCAAGAAATAATTTTAAGGTAGGTGTATGTGGGGGTCATTAAGGTAGACAGTAAGCTTCAACATTGAAAAAAAATGAAAATCAGCATTTATAATAATAATAATTATTATTATTATTATTATTATTCTTTTGAACATTTGATAGTAAAAAACTACCATTATGACAGTCATTTTCTTAATTAATGACATTTGATTGTAAAAAATGGAATTTAGCAATTTTATAATTAAAATTAAACTTAAAACTTTAATTTATTAATTTATTTTATTTAAAAAATC